CATGTGGTTTTAATTGTTTTGCTTCTTCCTCTCCTTTCCCTCTGGGCTAATGTTTTCCAGCCACCGAGCCAATCACAGTTAGTTATTGTGGAATTTGGGTTGTTTTAAACTTCTCCTCTACTTTCTTTATCAAGATTATCTTGCAACTAGTGGCGTAGCTAGAAATTTTTTTGAGGGGGCGGCAAAACCAAATTTTGACCCCAAAAAAAAGTACGTTTTTGCGTCAATTTAAAAGTCAATGAAATGAATTTTCTAAAAAATAGGAAATAATTTCAAATAAAATTTATTAATTTTAATAATGAACTAACTATATATGCTGATAATGTAGTAAAATGCCATCAATTGAAGGAAAACATATATTGTGCAGTATACTAAATAAATTAAAAAAATAAAAAAAGTATATTTTTGAATAAATACTTTGTGAGAGGATGATACCAAAGAGTATTTCATTCAACATCTTGATTTTGCCTCTTTCATATTATCTTTATTTTTCTCATCATCATCAAAAATAATCTTCAATGGTTAAAAAACTTTAAAATGTTTAAAATAGTATAAAATGAATACTGAATAAGAATAAAAATAAAAAAAAAAACATAGTGGACTAAGTTTGTAGTTCCACAAAAGTTTGGAGGGGGGGGCTTGGCCCCCTCAAGCCCCCACCTAGGCTCCGCCGCTGGTTTGCACAGCATTCACCTCATTTGACGCACTAATTGAAGTTAACTGAGTTTTCCCATGAGCAAATTAATTTCTATATTTATAGTCAATGTTTATACTTTATACGCACGAAGGTGGAAGTTGGCCAATGTTTGTTGTCATATCATATCATTGTTTGACTTTGTTCGATGTTTCTTTTTTGATTAGTTAGGAAAGTTTGGACTCTTTTTTTCTCAAGTTACAGAGCCGTTCTGGAGGTGTTTTCTTTTTCTTATAAATAAGATAATAAGTTATATAATGAAAGATAAAATAATAATTAATATATATTTAATTTCATATATAAAAATAGTACTCATCAACCTTATCTCTTAATATATTTATTAATATTTATTTTAATTTAACTATTAAAATATAATATAAATACAAATAATTCAGTCAATTTTTATATTATATATACATAATTATATATTTAAGTTTATCAGTTTTTAATTTTAAATTATAAAATAATAATTTTTTAATAAATATATTGTATTATATGTTAAATTAAAGTGTATACAAATCAATATCCTAAGAAATAACTCTTTTCTTCTTTTATTTTTTTTTTTACTCATTTCAAAATTCAAATTTAAGATTTACTAGCTAATGCTAATGGTGGGTCTTTGTTTGCTGCCTTAGTGACTTTTGATTTTTGCCCGCGACCTTGATTTCAGGTGACTTGACTTCTCTAAATAGTGTCCAATTCCAGCTTAGAGATGCATATCATGAAGAATTTATAGGCGCTTTGTGGAGATTTTCTTTTATTTATTGCTAGAATTTTATAACTCAATTTGAGGGGATGTTAAGGTATTAGGATTGTAGACTATGAATAATTAAATGATATATTTATTTTTAATATTAATGAAGTATATTGTATTTAAAATATTTCAATTTATTTGATTTATTTTTATATATTTTCCATCCTAAAACCCATCACTTTAACTCTTACTTACATATCTTAGAAATAATTTTTAATATGCTTTTAAAAAAAAAAATTTCTTCGTTTGCTTTTTCATGTTTTAAACCATAATAGATTTTTGTTTAAACCATGAGAGAATAATTAAGAAGAGAGAATTGAAGTTAGAAAGGCATTTTGTTATAATTTAGAGATATGAAGAGAGTTAAATATAGTGACCTTAATTTATACAAACTTGAAAGGAGACAACATGTAAAATAAATCAATTACATTAAGAATTAACGAAAGTTTGGGTGAGTTGGTGTTAAGTCATAAAAACTTTAATTTGAGATTAAAATTAAAGGTTTAAATTTCTATATAATGTAGCAGCTAGTCTGGCAATATACTAAAAAAAATCAATTACATTTAACATATCATTAAATACAATCTATCCTATTAATATTAGAACCTTGGGTAACCTTGGGCCTCCATTAGCAAATATAGAAACTCCTAACGGAGCTTGTGTTCGGAGTTTTAATGAGATTTAATCTGTTAATTTCCGAGAAACCTTAGGATCACAAGTCAATATATATACTCCTATATCAAATCCCCAATTAGGATTTGGATTTGTATATTTCCTGATGGGAATCTATCAACATTCCAGTTAGGATTTGGATTTGTATATTCTTAATGGGAATGTAATATAAAGTGGTGGTGACCTTTGGTGTGGAGGTGTGAAGCACGCCCTTAGGAGAGTTACGATGTATGTTCTATTCTTTTGGGTTTGAAAGGGAAGTAAGTTCTCTTCTTAATGTAGAATAAAGGGTTATGGTTATGATCACACTTAAATTTGTTATAACTATATAAATTATTAAATTTTAATTTTAATTTAATTATTAAAAATAGTTAAAATTATTTAACATATTAAAATTAATTTATAAACAAATATTTTTAGATATCATAATTAACTATTTGAGAAAAAAAGCTTTAAATTGATTAAATAGTAATTGTGTGTGGCTATAACCTAGCCTGAACAAAGGGTCTTTGAGTCATGCATGGTAAGCATACAATAGAGAGATAGATAGAAACAGAATCTTGAAATGTTTGAGTTAAGGGAAATAGAGAAAAGGAGAGGGGAGGAGAAGATTTTTTAACTAAATAAATTATAATATTTAAAAAATATTATAATTTGACTGGTCATAAGACTTTCCCTTCTCCTCCCCTCCTCTCCATTCCCCTTAATCCAAATGTAAGTTAAGTAAATGCCAGAGTTGTTTAAGTACAATTTTCTTTTCTTTTCTTTTTTTTTTTTTATAGACGTTTAAATACAACCGTCAATGTTTAGGAAAAAAGAAGAAATTAATTTTGTCAAACTTTTTCAATAGTGTTTTGAAAAAAAAAAATAACTAGTATACATTTTGTTTAACACATTTTTAAAAAATTATTTTAATTTAATTATTAAAATATAATATAAATATAATTAATTCAATCGATTCTTACATTATATTTTATATGCATAACTATATATTTAAATTTAATTATATTTAATTTAAATAATTTTTTTTTTATAAATATATTATATAATTAGAGGTGACAAAATCACATCCAATTTGTTAACTCGACCTTAACTCAATCTATAAAAAGCAGGTTAAGGTCAAGTAGTATTGGATTTGTGATCCATTTGAGTCAACCCGTATGGGTCACGGGTTTATTTTTAAAATTTTTAAAATATGTTTTTATAAGATATTTTAGGCAAAATAACCAACAAATATAATTTAAAAGAAAGATAATATGATAGTGGCCATTACAATTTATAAAACTTTTCAAATGAAGCTGATTATATTCATTTAAAATTTATTAATAAAGTGTTGTGTACTATATATGATTACTTGTAAAGAAAACAAAAAAAAAAATTAAATAAATCATTCAAAATATATTCCACATAAAAAAGTTATTTTGCTTTAACTAATCAAACAAAGAGAAGAAAAATTATTAAAAAATAATCATCTCAAAGTTATTATAATTTAATTTTAATAAATAAATACTAATTATATAAAATAATAAAAATTCTAACTCATAATTTAACCTATAACCCATTAAGATAAACACTTATTGACCCCACAATTCCTATATGACTCAACTTGTAAGATTCATGACCGGAATAAACCCAACCAAACCCGCCCCAACTTACCTATTTGCCACCTCACTATATATGAAAATTATGATATATACCTATCATGCCCATTTTGAAAATGAACATTCTCTTATCCTTATGTGATCTTCGTCGAAATAGGATATATATTGGAGAAATGATTTTATGACGTGTGTGGTGAAGTTTGCCTTTTTGTACTTTGGACGTTGGCGTTCAACTTTAGTGCGCTCAGACACGTGTTAGCGTTGAGCAATGTTTTGAAAATTGGTCGGGCAATGGACCTATTTTCGCCATCGGAATTGGTTTCACTAGTTAAAATCGGTTAAATTTAATAAATAGTATATTAATTATATAATTCAAAATAATTCACATTACAATGTAATTTTTT